AATATTAATAATCGAATTTTTGCTTCGCATGTTTGCCTAGAATGAATTTTTATCTGGACACGAAAATTTTGGTAGGCCTATTTTTTTTTTCAACATTTTTCATTTTTTTCGACTCATGTTTTCTAATGTTTGTGTTGCTCCACTTCGCCTCTGTGATTTAAGCTGTCTCTTGTTGCGAGTTGTCTTTTTTGCAATTTTCGAGTTCTCTTAAGGTTTTTGGTTAAACGCACTTGGAAAAGGGCACATAGTATTTAACTCTCACATCACATCATAAGTAGATATTTGTTTTGTCTCGTTGAAATCGGTTGACTTCAGTCGTAAAAGCGGTCTCAATTGAATTTGCTAGAACGGAATTTCGACTTTGTGGAGCTATTGGGCTTGACCTAATCTCAATCTGAACCAAAACAGGCGCAGCGTCGTCATAAATGAGGCAAGAATTAGATACGCTTTTATTTGTATTTGAGTTCGTTTCGGAATTGGTCATCTTTTCTACAGTGGAGTTTTCATGGATCTCTTTTTACACTTGCGAATGAAAGAGTCTTGTATTATTTCCCCCCATTGGTACGTAGTAAAGAATAACCACCCCTATGAAGAGTTAAATCAATAGTTAAGCAGCAGGGGGAGGGGCGAAATAGTTGAAGAGATCTGTCTGCATTTACTAGATTGGCTGAGGGAATTATTGAGTTAACTCATGGAACAGATTGAGGCAAAGCTACTTTCTCTCTTATCTTCACAGTCGAGATTTGTTTTATTATGCCGAGGTTTGTTTGTAAGTTAATCAAACTCAAACCACATAGCACTATCTCCTAATTTAAATAAAGTTAGCTGCAAGGTCTGCATTACCAGATGCAAAATAAACGTGAAACTATTCGAACTCTTAATTTATTTCTTCAATTGAAAAGTATACCATGGCACACGCCTAATGCGAGCTCAGTACTAATTTTTTGCTTTTACAAAAATTGAATAAAGTGCGCTTCGCTCTACACGTTTTATGTTTTTTGCGAAGCTTGAATTGCGTTTATTGTTTATAATGCAAATCGATCGATGGTAAATGTGAAGTGGTGCGAAAAAATTGAGGCGTAGTGCAAAGTTGAAATTAGTCAAAGCGTTGAACAATTTGTGGCGTGAACGAACGTGAAACATCTGAACAATCCGATGTGTTTATTTGCTTGGCTCGATAATCATAAAATTAATAAATGATGAATGCATGCTTCTTACGCTCAAAAAATTTCATGTATGCTGCGTATATAGATTTTAAGCCTTTTCTAATGCCATACAGCGCTTGATCAGAGCTTTTAAAAAAGCATGCTGTTTTTAAAAGAAACGGAAACGTTATTGTTCTTCTTTTTGTAATTGAAAAAAGGAAAATCCCTTTTGACAGAAATAGTTACGTGAGTCACACCAGAATTTGTGGTGATTTCTTTAGAATAGATGGAGAAAATGAACTTCGTGAATAAAACACTCTAATTGATGCTTGTAATGATTGGATTGATTTTTATTCTTTTTTTTATATAAAAAAAGTTAAATACTTCTTTAACATCAATCGCTTGCAAAATCTAAATTGCCACTGCTTGGGGATGGTCATTTGAATGTCTATTGTTTGAACTTATATAACCCGATTTCAGATGAAAAGCGTTTTGCAAAAATATGATGCTACCAAATAAAAGTAAACCGCACATTGTTACATTCTGAAACAATTGGAACAAGAAATGCCAAATAGATTATCATGTGACCAGTCTCAATTATTTCGTCCGTGCCACAAAAATGAAACTTAAAAGCCATCTTCAACTTTTTCAATGCTCTTGAGTTTTTCATTTTCAACAGCATACCATATGGTTTGTTTAAATTGCTTAAAACTGAACGAATCAAGCAAGCCTTTCAAGGAACCTTGGCAGAGTAAAAGATCTTGACTGTTCCGAGGGATAATATCTATGCTATGCATGCTCATAATTAACTAGTTCAGCCTTGCTCACATAGTTTGATTAAATATAAGCAAGTAACTAAGTTCCCTGCTAAGAGTATATGATCTGATACACTCATTACGCTTGCGTTCAACAAGCGTTCTTTCGAATGTTTTTTTTTCTACTTCAACTTCCGTCTTCGTCGGTACACTTGGCTTTGCTGTAGCGTCTTTGCCTAGGAGGACAAAGTTCCTAAGCCCGTAACCGGGCAGGACCTGTTCCTTGTTGCAAAATTTAAAAAAATTCTTTAAAATTGTAGGTCTATTGTTTGTTTGTTAATTTTTGTCGGCTTAGTTGCCTTAGTACAGAATTTATTGCAATTGAAGTAATTTTACCTGTGCTCGGGGTCGTTTTTTCTTCAGACTTTTTAACTAACCATTTTTGACGGATTTTTTTTTTATCATTCAAATAGTAAGGTTGTCCAGAGATTAAATTTGAAAATATATTTTACCTGTGATCATTTTTGTTAAAGTTATGGGGGTTTAAAGATAGCCCTTTTGGTCAGTTTGGAACAATTAACGCGCGATATATTTCGCGCTGTGAACGCGTAAGCGGAGATTTAATTCATCCGAGAAATCATTCCAATTAAGTTGAAGGAAGCTTATTTGCCATAAATGACTTGTTACTAAGAGCGAAATCTATCACTTTGTACTTTGAATGGCATGTGGGAGGATGATTTTCAGAAAAAAACCTAAAATTTAAAAAAGAATGTTCATTTTTATTACCTTTAATTTTGTCATTTTTTTCTGCTCTATAGACCTTTAAAAGCAGTCGGAACATGCAGGGCTTTGACCTGATACGAGCAGTCTGGTCTTGGTTTTTTTCAAGTAAGTTGAAAACTTACCAACCCTGATTTTGTATAATTTTTTATTTCGGCGTATTCACTTAATAATTCGTTTTTTGAAAACATAATACTTTTGTAAGAATACCTTGTAAGAAACTTGAAGGAAGTTATACAGGTCTTGTTTTTGTAAATAAAGAGTTCTAAGGCCATCTTGTTTTTTTTTGAATATCAAAGGTTGAGTCTTTTCTAGAAGTATTTCCTTGCTGAAGCGCGATAATCTTTTCTGAGTGCTTATTTAATGGTTGCAATCGTGTTTCTTGACAGTCTACCCTTAAATTTACCTAATTTGAGACGAAGGTATGACATTTTTTGCAGTTGTACATTTTTGATCAAATTTATTACTTCCATTTTATTTCCTGTCCGCTAGTTTCTATAGTATGTTTGTGTGATATCGAAAAAAAAAATAACTCTTATAAAGCGTACAAATTATGTATTTCTTTAAACTTAAAACAGATTTAATCTTACAACCTTGGTTTGAGATTTGAGCCAGACTAGCATAAAAAAAGGATAGCCGGTTACTGTGCAAGTAGCACAGAATGTTTCGAACAGTCTTAAAAAATACAAAAAAAATTTTCTTTTCAAATTGGTGTCGTTTTTTTACTGCATGTTGTGATAAAAAGGTCTGAACAAAAAAAAGAACTTAGGCATAATTGAGAGTCAAAAAAATTGTTTTGAAAAAAATGACAAGAAAAACGAAAAAAAAATTGAAAAGTATTGAAAAAATTTCATTTTTTCAAAAGCTTTCGAATTTCTAAGTTTTTGATTCCCAAAATTGCGAAATTGCGCTAAAAAACTACCTTTACATGAGTAAAACTAAGTTGTCACGGCTTAAATTCAGCTTAAATAAGCTATTGTAAACATGCACGGTTAGTTTTTTTCTTTTTGTTTTCCTCGCAAAATCAGGTACTACAAATAATCATCGGACTGTGCTGAGTGAAATATCATAATAAAGCACTTACAGTCGTCATTTTAAATTCATTGAAAAATTTTGAATTTTTTTCAGTGTCGAGAAAAACAGGAATTTTTCGTCTTATTTCGAGCTTATTAAGAGCTTAGTTTTACTTGAGTAACTTTTTTGAGAATTTCAGCGCCTTTTTGTAGTCTAAGTTTTCAAAAAAGTTTAAAATGAAAAACTTAAAATTGAAAGTTATAAAAAAATTTCAAATTTTTTTTCTTGTAATTTTTCTACGAATATTGTTTTTCAATTTGCTTATTTTACTATGACTTTTATCCCCTTTTATCGCACCACGCCGAAAAAAAATTACAACAAATCGAAAAAATTGTTGTATTTTTTAAGACTATGGTTGTTGTTATTGTTGTAGTAGCTACGCCCAACGCCTCTATGGTCGGCTACTTGCACAGTAACCGGTTATCCTTGTTTCGTATTGGAGGTATTTTAGTCGTGATTAAGCTGTCCTTAAATGCTGTTTTATGCTATATGACATAACCCTGAAGATTTTCCCATGGTAGGTTGATCTCGACTGATGTTTTATAATAAATAAAAACTGCATTGACGTAGAGTGAAGAGTAGAGAAGACTCGATAATATTATTTCGCTCTCCACTCCCTACATGAGCAAACATCATTAATTTCTAACCCATGTAGCAATTTAAAAAACTTACGAAGGAGTATAATTGCCTTCTTTTTTGAGCGGTCGGACAAATACGAGTAAGCAATGGCTATGCAAGTAGCACAGAATGCTCCGACCACAGTAATTTTTAAAAGCATTGGCAAAAACGTGATCTGTGTTTTTAACCTTATATTTTTTTTCAATTTTTGCGTTTCAGGCTAAGACTTAGTTTGCCTAACATTATGCTGAAATCGGGTTTTGGCAGTCTTTTTCTCGCAAGAATTAAAGCGAGCAACTTTTAACTTGTAAAAAAGCTAGTGACTTTTTGTGAACAATCATTTCGATTCCGCAGTTGATGTAATTTTTACGTATTTCGGTTTACTAATCTGATGATTTAATGAAGAAAATGATACTGCCAACTTTACCTGTTACCAAGTGCATTTTTTGGACAAAATTTCTAATGGTTTGTAACGGGCCCACACACAAACGAGTATCCCTTAATCTTCAAGCCGTTACCCGAGGTGATCTACAATAACGAGAAGAAACATATCTGGGAATCCTCGTTTTCTTGTCAGTTTCAAATACTTGGAGCGCATAATGATAAATGTTTGATTTTGTTTTGTTAGGAATTGGGAAGGCGTGACAGCTACCGAGGTGCAGTGAAAGACACTAAGAAGATGGCCGAGGCAAGTGCGGATGCAGGAGGTGGCGGAGGAGGCGGCCAACCGAAGCTGAAGGGGAAGGAGAAGATGGATGACCTGAAGAAGGAGTTGACCCTAGATGACCACCAGATCTCCTGGGAGGAGTTCCACACCAGACACGAGGGATCCAACAGAGTCTCAGTAAGTCCCTCCATCTTTTAGTCTTACTCCACTAAGAGAGATGTTTTTAATTTCACCACTAAGTTCACAGTTGTATATATACGATGTACATGGGATGTTTCTCAAAATCAGTACTTTGTAGTCAACCAGCCAGAAGCCTGACCAGGAAGTCGAATTTTTTAAAGCTGAATTACATGTGCGATTAACCTGAAATCACATGGTTGGCGGGCACCATCATTACCCGATTTTCTTTATTGCCAACCTTCTTACTCATTGCGGTCTTTTGTTGCTTCTGAGTTCAGTTGTATATTTTTTCAAGTAGATTTACTGGAACATTAGAGTCAGATTCTGGACGAAAGCTATCTGAAATGTAACTCCTTGTGTACCTAACCGTTTTTAGTGTGAATGTGAAATGGGTTTGTTAGGGTCTGACGGAGGCCAAGGCAAAGGAGATTCTTGAGCGTGATGGACCCAATGCGCTCTCCCCTCCCAAGACAACGCCCGAGTGGATCAAGTTCTGCAAACAACTATTCGGAGGCTTCTCTACATTGTTGTGGATTGGAGCCATCCTATGCTTCATAGCCTACACGGTGGAGAAGGTGACAAGTGAAGACGAACCACTCAAGGACAACGTAAGCACATCTGATTATAGATGAAAATTGAACTAATGATGACAAACATATTCAAGACTCAACTTTGACCGCAAGTTAGACTCAAAATTTTTTCGGTTATCATATTAATCTAATTTTTGAAAAGAGCAAGATTTGGAGGAGCTACGGAAGACTCGAGTTTTGTTTTGTGTTTTGGGAAATTTATGGACTAGCATCTCGTGTGAGTGTTATATATGTGTGCTGCTGTGTGGTTTAGTTGTGGCTGGGAGTAGTGCTGGCCAGTGTGGTCATCATCACCGGCTGCTTCGCCTACTACCAGGAGGCCAAGAGCTCCGCCATCATGGACTCATTCAAGAACCTAGTGCCACCTGTAAGTAGAAACACAAGTTGACCAAGCAAACAATCTCTCATTGAAACCAATTCAAAGGGGGAATTAGATGACTTGTTGTGGTACTGTCCCCTTAATCCCTTGTAAACACTCACTTGTAGTGCTCGAATTATAGACAGACAAGACGTTGAACAGTTAATTGAGAAATTTCGGATATGCTCAGCACATTTTATGGTACTGTTAGTTGAGAAGTTTCGGATATGCTCCTGTTGGCTGCTTCTAATGGGGATATTAGGATGGGAAATGATTGAGGTTAGATGGAGATGATTATGATGGATAAGGGAGATAGGTAGGAGGAAGTACAAGGAAGCAACGTGAGGGAAAATAAGCGTATTTGATTAAGAATGGGGACATAAAACTACGAACTAATTGGCTGCTGATGTCGTTTATGACGATGTGATTGGAAATGACGTCATAGCTGGCTGTACAGACAGTTGAATTTGATCTGATTTTGTTTCCATTTTAGTAAATTAAAAATTTGAAGTTGTATGCGATTTGGAATCGGTTTTAAAAGTATCAATTTAGAGACGTGTCGTCTGCTCATATCCGTTAGTTGACTTTTTTCCGCCAATAGACGGAGACTGAATTAATGAGGCGGAAACCTAGTTTTATGAACAGGAAGGAAATATGACGTCAAAATCTCATACGTCTTACAGGATAATTTGAAGAGACTTAAAATTTCAAATGCGTAGCGCAATAGGTTTTCGGGTATATCTACTTCAGGGGCCAATATATGCTTATTTTGAGGGGGGGGGGGAGGGGCGCCAAAAAAAAAACGCGATTTTTTTTGTCAAAATTTTCCAAAAAGTGCCCGAAAACGGCTTTTTTGACCTGTTTTTTCAAAAATTTGCTTGCGGCGTAGAAATTTTTCCCAAAACAGTGTCTTTTTACTGCTTTAGGAGAGCTCGGAAAATCAATTTGGTCGACCTTAAAAAAAGGTCAAAATTTTCGTTCTCATAGCATCTGCATATCTGATTGAAGTTTCTGCCACGCATCTTGAAGATTTCAATTATATTAACTTTATTTTCACCGTTTTTTTTTTGGATAGTTTAAAATATAATTTGACCACGTCAAATTTGAGCTTTTACCTTTTGACTTTTGGTTTCTTACGTTCAATTTAAATTCATTTGCTAAAAGGAAGACAAGTTGAGCTCTCCAATTAGGACAGCGGAAACCATGCGAAAAACAAATGTGAATGTCTTTACTTGCTGGTTTCCCCAGCGGAATGAGAAATGCAAATTTAAACAGTGTTCTCAAATTGGGTTTATTTCATGAAAACAGTACCTTTCTCAAAAAAACTTTGAAAATTGGAGAGTTTTTACGTGATTCATTTTTGTCGAAGTTTGATAAGTTTGATAAGTCAATAAGTAAGTCAATAATTTTTTTACGGTTTCCTTGAGTGCATTGACACTTCTCCAATTGTCTGTTGGGTGTGTTTTAAGTTTCAATGAACGATGTGAAGATAAATCTGAGATGCTATATATTGTTCGATGAAACTGTTTCAAGATAATGTTGAGATGTTATAATTTGTTCCATGAAACTCTTGAAGAAAGTCGCCATCTATACTGTTCATATATGTATTTATGTGTGTGTAGACTGCGAAGGTGGTTCGAGACGGGAAGAAGTACGAGATCATGGCGGAGAATCTGGTTGTGGGTGATCTTGTGGAGGTCCAGTTCGGAGACAGGATCCCCGCCGACATCCGAATGGTCGAGTGTAGAGGACTCAAGGTACGTTACAGAAGTAGTAGCAGTGTTAGTCCATTATTTTCTTTCAAGAGTTATTGAAGAGCAAACCCGGCTCAATTTTGATGTCTGCCGTGGTGAAATTCAAAAAATACGCTTACCCTAAGAGTGATATACTGTCATTCACATTCATTTCGGTAACTAGAAAGAATTGAAACATTTCTCTTTAAAAACTTAAGTAATAAAAGGTTAAAGTTGTTAAACGAAGCCAGAATTAATGTCAAGAATTTAGAAATTGGAAGTCCTGAAATGGAAACTGTTTGAGCCTGTGGTCTGTTTTTCCAACCAAAATCAAATGCTACTAGCATTTCGAATTTGTTTTGATTCACTCCTAAGTTTTCTCCAACATAAAGCATTGGTCTTTAATAGAACATCTGGTATTTTTGGTTCCTTGAAGTCAGTTTTCCAATATTTGTTCTCAGTTTAAAAGATTAAAGCTTAGTTGACATCAAACGGTTGATACATTCTTTGAGTTCGTTCAGATATCTGAACGAAGGCCCTTAGCTTAGGCGATGCAGAAAATATCTGAAATGGAAATGGGTCTGAAATCGAATTATGAAATTGAAATGGAATTTGCATTTGCCTAGTATAAACTTAATCACTTGGGACCAGCCCCCGATTAGTGAAGGGAGCCTTTACCTAGCCAGCAGTAGCTTAGTTTAAATTAAGAGAGAGAGAAAGACAGATTACATAGCTATGCTGTTCCACCCCAAACCCTCCCCTTCGTTTAATTTAATTGTTTCTAGCAGGTAGAGCTACACGCAGACTAGAGAAAAGAAAGGGAAACTTATTGCCAATATTGTTAATTCCTAACCAAGTTACTCCTTTTGCATTGTTACTAATGTCTCTGCAATTGTGCGTTGGGCTGGGCTATGTAGATGATTCGTTAATACTGAATATAAACAGCACCCCAAATGGGTTTCAAATCAGCACTTGTAAGGTTTGTTGAGCGGCTTAGCGGTTTGAAGTCTACCAAAGAGCAATTTAGAGGGGTAAAATGTTTGCAGTGACGCGTGCAGTATTTGTCCGGTCTGCTGAATTGTGAACAGCATTAAGAATTGCATAATATTCGGTGGAGAAAAAGAAGCCGGGTATAGCCAAAAGAGGGAAAAGATAGCCCCACTGCTGTGCCCCTTGGTTTATTTCCCTTCGCCCGCTAACCCCCGGGGGAGTCGGTTCAGTTGCTATTTGCAATGAAAATAAAAGTAGTGACGCGCAAATGGTCAGTTAGTTCAGTTGGTGCAGTTGCTTCTATCGTCTTATGGGAACAAATGCGCCCCGGTTACAACTTTAGCGAAATGCAACTTTAAACGCAAAATCGATATGTACTCCTTGTTTCTCCATTAGTGCCCTTTATCGTCTTCATTCTTTTTCCACCATTTTGTTTTATTAACAGTAGCTACTGTTGCATTTGTGAAACACTATTCGGAAGTCATAAATGTCGTCTATGATTAAACTCAGCTTTTGCTTTAGCTAAAAACGAAATGTTTTTTTTCTTCTTTGAGATATCATTCGTTTTAATCTACCTTAATTGAGCGCATAATGTATTTATGACTTGTGTTTGTGAGGTTTCCTTTTCATTTTGCTGACGTCACGAAGTGCCGTTGGAATAAACAAGAGCAGTAAGGCACTGTTTGTGAGAAAAGGAAAAGGAAAAGGCAGAGAGGCTTTGAAGCTGAGCAGAAATGTTGCTCTACCATTAACCATGGTGACATGTAGCCCCATATGTTTTATTTGAGTTTTTATTTGCCCCTGTTGAAATGTTACATAACAAGAATGGAATGTGTCCCTTATGTCCAGTGCAACAACAAACGTGTCTTCTTGTCTGCCATTTGGTTGTTGAATTGGAATTTAATGAATTTTGAGCCGGACCCTTCTGGCAAGCGAAGTTCTATATACCCAATATGAATGCTAATTTGATGGAATGAGAAATAAGCGCGGGTTGTGTTGTGTTGTGTTGTGCATGCGAAGTAGCTATTTGTACCTGAAGCAATTTGAGATAGGGTTTCTATTCTTTCCCTCGACCCAACTGTCCCGACCAATTTGGGCTCCCTCGGGGCTGCCTAGCTGTCAGTGAGGGCAATTCAGGTTATGTGCCCAGCCGTAATAAAGTGAATTGTGTATCGTCTTTGTCATGGCAAACTGTCTTTGTAGACGGGGCTTTTATCATTACCGGGAAGGCGAATGTCCAAAAATTGCAAATCAATCAACGTCATTTCAAATTTTCAAAACCGGCTGATTATGTTTGAATTCTGATTGGTTGAAATAGTTTTGGGGCAGTCGCTCGTTATGGAACGAGGGGTTCCCCCATTGCAGACTGGTCGCTCGATTGAACTGACAGTTGGATTATCTGGCTCCCAGTTGTCAAGATATATCTGGCTGTCTGTTGTATTTCGATTTTAGACAAGTTGAGACCCAGTTTTAATGTCAAATAATTGCAGCTAGGAGGGAAGTTGAAATGGTTATTAGTAGGCAGTCTTAAGAACAGCATGTGGCTTGATAGGATTTAAAGACGGCTGATAAATAGGCGGCGAAATTAAGTAGTCTTTTCTTTAGTATGTGAATTTAAAGTGATGAATTTAAAGTGAACGAAGAAGTAGACAAACTCTTCTGTTTAATGAATCAGGATGTCGTTTTCTTTTTATTAGAACAGCGTTTCAAAAAGAAGATGCATGTCAAAAATTTCAAAAAGAAGATGCATGTTTTAAAAAAAATTTACGAAAATTAAGAAAAACTGTCATGAAAAAATCTATCGTTTTTTTTTGCATTATCGACACAATCAGGGCTGGAACGAGGCAAGTTTTTGTCAATACAACTATGCTATTAGATTAGTGAGATGTCAAGGTTGTCTTGGGTATTATGTAAAAAAGCTCCTAGGGCCTCTCAATGGTTTTTTGCTTCTGTTGTCACATGAATGAACGTGATGAAAATGAGTACATGTTTGTGAAGCCACTGTTACTGCTTGACCGACGAGACGAAACCTTAAATCAATCTCCGCAATATTCAAATGAGGACTTTTGGTTATAAGTAAAAACACGAGTTTGATAACCATGCCTGTTTGTAACAGCGACAAACAACAACAACAGTATTTGTTTGTGTGTTTAGGTGGACAACTCATCCCTAACTGGAGAGAGTGAGCCCCAGAGCAGGGGAATTGAGAGCACCCACGAGAACCCACTGGAGACCAAAAACATCGCCTTTTTCTCCACCAACGCCGTCGAAGGTAGACAACCCAAGACTCACTTCATACAGACACCATGTTCACTACTTGACATCATAAAAATGATACGATTTTACTGCTTTTGCGCGAATTTCTTGAGTCAACTGTACGAGTGCTATTCAATAATTGTAATTGTTGATATAAGTAAAGTTTATCCAATAATTTTAATGCAAAAACTTTTCTGGGCCTTGCGTCGGCTTTAAAGAGCTTTCAGCTTCGAAGCGCTTAGCTTGAAAAGAATTGCGTTCGATGACATGTTTGCAGTCGTCAATATTTCTTAATTTAGTTTCTTGTATTTAGGTACTGGCCGTGGGATAGTGTTCCGAACTGGAGACAACACCGTGATGGGTAGGATTGCGAACCTGGCCTCCACTTTGGACATTGGAAAGACGCCGATCGCGAGGGAGATTGCTCATTTCATCCACATAATCACGGGCGTGGCCGTGTTCCTCGGCGTGTCCTTCCTCATCCTTGCCATCATCCAGGGCTACAAGCCCCTGCAGGCAGTCGTGTTCCTCATCGGAATCATCGTGGCCAACGTACCCGAGGGACTCCTCGCCACCGTCACTGTGAGTCTGCTCATCTAATTATTAATCTGCTATATCCCAAGGTAGTTACATGTCAGCAAAATGAAGCGACCGAAAAATGTCTGTAGTTCGGTTTCATAACCCAATATGAAGCTTAAATTTCAGTTAAAGAATACGTTCACAGCACATAGAATAAAGTTACTTCTTGAACGGTGGATCCCTTGAGCAATGCATCGTAGTTAGTTTTGCCTGTTTTTAATAATTCACGAAAGTATATTCATGAAAATTTTAATATTTTTGCTGATTACTGATGATCTGGACCGCTGCAAAATGTTTTGTAATGCATGGAAGCCAAATATGGTTTTTTAATATTCAGGTTTGTTTGACACTGACTGCGAAGAGTATGGCTAGCAAGAATTGTCTGGTGAAGAATCTGGAGGCAGTGGAGACTCTGGGTAGTACCTCCACCATCTGCTCAGACAAGACCGGAACCCTCACCCAGAACAGGATGACAGTGGCCCACATGTGGTTCGACGACCAGATCCATGAGGCAGACACCACCGAGGACCAGAGCGGTAAGTCACAATCAAATAAACAAAAACACACAACGCCGCTTTTATGTAACTCAATTAAGTAAGGAAAAATGGTAACTTGCTCAACTTGCAGCTCCACGAAACGGAGCGGTAGTTTTCGCCATACGCAAACTTCAACTGTTTGTTGTAGAAATCTGTTTGCCTGCTAGTTATGGCCGTAGAACTCCTTGAAATTTTCAACGGGAGAGGTGTTGCTTAAATATCCTGAGAGTCTATGTAATATTTCATCGAGCAACATTTGCAATTTTTGGGTGGCTAGAGCGCGAGACTCAATCTCTTGAAAGCAGTAGGTCGCAGAGCAAATCCTAGACCTGGCCGAATTTTTGCTAATTCGAGGCTTATTTATATTTTTTCTAGAGCTGCTTTTTTTTTCGTGTTCTTGCTATAGTTTGCGAAGCGAAGCTTCGCCTCTGTAAAATTTTTCCGGCATAATTTTAACTTTATCTATTTATCCAGTTTTCTCAAAATGAATTATTTTAATTGAAACAGTGTCAATAACAATATTTTCTTGAGATTCAAAGAGCTTTAAGGCCATATATTGTTTGTTTTGAAGTTCGAAAGTTGCAGTTTCTTTCGAAACTGTCTGTTGGCTGTTTTCATTCCAACTCGCTTATAAAAATGCTCATTTGGTGGCACTTTTGCAGCAATCACATTATATTTGGTTAACTTTTGCTGCATTTACATTATATCTTAATATCTGGATTATTCATGGGTACTGCTTGAATTTTGTCTAGCGACCATCTTGCTGATGCTAGGACGTGTGACTCTTGACCTCTGGGTAGGGGGCTCAATTCGGGCGCAGAAGATTTTTTTTTTTCGTTTAACATTTTCTGTTCTTTTTTGGGCCTTTTAAGCTACTTTTGCTCTTTTCTCGCTGGTGTTTGCCAAATGCAGCTTTGCTTCTGTGTAAAAGGCGTTATCGACATTGAATAAAATCTGCAGTGCTTTAAATGTTAATGAGTTTATCTTTATGTAGGAAAGGGATTCGACAAGACGGCAGTGACGTGGACGCACCTGTCCAACGTTGCCGCCCTCTGCAACAGGGCGGAGTTCAACGGTGGTCAGGAGGAAGTGCCGGTGCTAAAGAGGGAGTGCACTGGAGACGCGAGTGAGACTGCGCTGCTGAAGTGCTGTGAGTTGTGTGTGGGCAATGTCATGGGCATGCGGGAGAAGAACCCCAAACTGATTGAGATCCCATTCAACTCAACCAACAAGTACCAGGCTAGTGTATTCCAAACTACGAGGCCACAATTGGTCGCAAGCGACAATTAGTAGCATTTCAAAATTGTTGTTTTCCCTTTGCTTCACTTTTCAATCAAAATGATGATAATAAATATGCGAGCTTAAATCTGCGAGCTTAAATCCGCAAAGTGAACAGAATTTTCATGAACACTCATTCAGATCAAGTTGTGTTACTGCTAATTTTTGTTTGAGGAAACATTTGAGCCGCAATAAAATAACTTGAAATTGGCCCCAGTTGTACTCGAAACTAATCACCTGATTTGTTGAAAAGGCTAAAATGATGTTAAACTGTGTGATGTTTTTGTGTAGGTCTCCGTGCACCAGACTGATGACCCGAATGACAACCGACCTCTACTCGTGATGAAGGGAGCCCCCGAGAGGATTCTGGATAGATGCTCCACCATCATGATGCACGGCAAGGAAAGGCCCCTAGACGACAACACCAAAGAGGCATTCCAGAGGTCATACGATGCCCTCGGTGGTCTGGGAGAACGAGTGCTCGGATTCTGTCACAAGTACCTCGACGCCGACAAATACCCACCAGGTACAGCTTGCCCAAAAATTAAACAAGGATAGCGGGTTACTGTGCAAGTTGCACAGAATGTTCCGACCACAGTCTCAAAAAATACAAAAATGTTTTCAATGATCGGAAAAACAATACGACTCAAAACCTAAGTTATTCCGCTCCGACCAGCAAGCGTTATCAAAGGAAACATGAGTAGCCGAGTAGGTAAGATGCGCGGCCTTTACCTTATCGTGGGTTCGAATCGCGCGTCGGTCACGTTTGGAGGGGTCCCAGTGTCATCCTCCTCAAGGTGGGACCGGCTGCGGCTAAATTGATGATGACGACATCATTCTCCACCACGAAAAAAAAAGAAAGACCCAAGTTTTTGTGATGGGAGCTGGGCCGTCGGCTAATAGAAAGAGGAAAGGGGGTTTTTCCTTGTCTCACAAAACATTTAATAGCTTAACTTATAATTAATTCAAGTTTTTAATTCTGCGCAAAATGAGGATCAATGCTTTGAACGACTAAGGTTTGGGATAAGAGTCTGGACAGGACCTGCAATTTTGCAAACTGAAAGTTTTCTGCTCGTTATTGCGCGTATTGGTTTTTTAGGATACAACTACGATGCCGATGACCCGAACTTTCCTCTGGAAGGACTGTGCTTTGTTGGACTCATCTCCATGATTGACCCCCCAAGAGCAGCTGTGCCCGATGCCGTGTCCAAGTGCAGATCGGCAGGAATCAAGGTCATCATGGTGACAGGCGACCACCCCATCACCGCCAAGGCCATCGCGAAGAGTGTCGGAATCATCTCGGAGGGCAATGAGACCGTGGACGACATCGCACAGAGACTCAACATCGACGTCAGCGAGGTCAACAAGAGGTCAGTCCACAAACAACGATTTTGAGAGCAACAGTTACTTTTTTCTCAAAACATCTATTATGCGTTCTCGAATAGCTAGTTCAGTTTCGCGATTTCGACTAAAACACAGAAAATGGGTAAATCTACAAGTCCTTGTCATTCAAGGCTTAAGTTTGTTTGTACTTATTTGTGTTGAGTTAAACAGTTTTTTTTATGAATGCCGTGTTTTATAGAGATGCGAAAGCATGCGTTGTGCATGGCAACGACTTGAAACACATGGAACAAGATGAAGTGGATGACATTTTGGCTAACCACTCCGAGATCGTGTTCGCCAGGACATCCCCACAACAGAAGCTCATCATCGTCGAGGGTTGTCAAAGGGCAGGCGCCATTGTGGCTGTCACTGGCGATGGTGTCAACGACTCACCTGCTCTCAAAAAGGCCGACATCGGTAAGACCTTTGTTCGTATATAAATCAAAGTTTGAATGTGACTTTAAATTTGGAAAAGTATTTTGAAAACTAGAGAGGTGACTTAGGTCTCTCAAAGGTAAAGCTTTTTACTCATGATAAGCAGCAGATTTTCAGCTCTGTAATGAAAAAAAGTTCAATTTTTTCGACTCAAAATTCACTGATTTATTGTATTCCAGGTGTTGCCATGGGTATCTCTGGCTCTGACGTGTCCAAACAGGCAGCTGACATGATCCTGCTGGACGACAACTTCGCCTCAATCGTGACTGGAGTGGAGGAGGGTCGTCTCATCTTCGACAACTTGAAGAAGTCCATCGCCTACACACTGACCAGCAACATTCCTGAGATCGCACCCTTCCTCATGTTCATCCTCATCAACATCCCACTCCCGCTGGGAACTGTGACTATTCTGTGCATCGATCTGGGAACTGATCTGTGGCCTGCCATCTCCCTCGCCTACGAGCCAGCTGAGAGTGACATCATGAAGAGAATGCCCAGGGATCCGAAGGGAGACAAACTGGTCAACCAGAGACTCATCTCAATGGCATATGGACAAATAGGTTAGAATCTTTCATCATGCTTGATTTTTAAAACTTAAAACTCTTCATCCGTTGATGTCATTATAATTACCAGGTATCTTCGGAAAATACAAATTATGTGCTCACAAATATCAATCTTTGTTATCATCAGAAGCATCACAAAGCTTATGAAGACCATTTGTTTCAGCGTTTATAGTTAATAATAATAATTTTTTTGGTGCGTCTTTCATTTGGCAAAAAAATAATGTCTCGTATAAGCATCGAAAAAAGAAACGTTTTCTCTAGGTTTGACATGGGTGAGTTGTGTTTGTAGGAATGATGCAGGCGTCTGCTGGTTTCTTCTGCTACTTCGTGATCATGGGTGAGAATGGGTTCCTGCCCGGATATCTGGTCGGACTTAGGGAGGAGTGGGAGAACAAGAACAACAACTCTCTTCAGGACTCCTACGGACAGGAATGGGTAGGCAGTGAATGCACGTGACAACCATGGAGTGCGGCCTGTAAGTAGACAAACGGGTATTCATAATCGTCAGTAAGTAGACAAACTACATATTGACCAATCAGAATCGAGATATGAATATCCAACGTGTGCAAGAATAAGTATTAAGTTATCTCGGTTATGATTGGTTAATATAGTATTTGTCTACTTGCTGAGGTAAGTATGGATGCGCGGTTGTCTACGTACTGCATCTTAACGCACGATTATCTGCAACATAATACTAGAATTTGGAATGAAGTAACGTTGGAAGACATTAAGACTTCCAAATGTCAAATCCTAATTTGGCCATCAATAATAATTTATAAGATAAAATTTCATCATTCAATCAATTAAATAAATTTTATGATTTCTTTGCTACTTTCTTTATGGTCAAGATCAATTTTTTTAATGATAACTCACCAATTAAAAGTGCTGCAGAATTTTTTTTTAATTAGAATTTTGTCAAAAAATTGTAATCATCGCTCAAGTTGGAACATATTGTCGTTTTTGAGCGGTCGTGTGCGAGTGGTAAGCGCGCGGCTCTTAATTCGAGGGCCATCGGCTTGAATTCTACTTCGGTCCCGGTCGGAGGGCTCCCAATGTCATCCGCCCACTCGAGATGGTAATGGACTCGGGAAAACTGGATGACACCCTCATCCCGTAGGAAGGCCCTGCAGTGTAGGGCTGGGGGCAAATAAAAAACGATGTCCTTGCACAGCAACTGTTGAATCTTGTTTTGCTTTAGCAGTTCATGGTAACCTTAGGTAAATAGATGTACAGCAGTGCGTTGTGAAATGGAATTGGTTATGAATCAGGTACCGGTTATGATTGTGGTGACCTTGTTTTGATGTGGTTATGAGGTGGAATTTATTGTTTTTTTCTTGTGTGTTAGACATATGAACAGAGGAAGGTGCTGGAGTACACGTGTCACACAGCCTTCTTTGCCTCAATTGTGGTCGTGCAGTGGGCCGATGTGATAATCTGCAAGACCAGGAGGAACTCCCTCTTCACACAGGGAATGCTGTCCAACAAAGTGCTCTGCGGAGGTCTGGTGTTCGAGACTTGTCTGGCCTGCTTCCTATCCTACTGTCCCGGACTGGACAACGGACTCCGCATGTACCCCATGAAGTGAGCACCAACACTCTTCTACAGATATGTCCATACACATACGTTGTATGGACATACAAAGGTCATACGTAATAAACAGGAACGTGGCGCAAGTTCGTGAAGAGAGGAACATCTCTTATATTTATATTTTAGTTAACCAGCCAGAGGCCTAACCCGAAGGTTAATTATTTAAGTTTAACTAAGCTATGGCTATCTTAGAAGAGCTCACCTTGTATATAGCAGCGCACGTGCGAATCGAACCCGCAATTATATAATTGCTTGCTGGGCAACATCACTACCAATGCACCACAACGCCATATTCTTATCCTGCTCTGTTCTTTAGTTAATGAATAATTGATCTCAATCATTTATCCGATCCGTCACACTTTAAATCCTGGCTCAAACAATTCTCTGAAAACTCGTAAGATTGGAATTGGGCAGCGGTAGAAACTTCTGTTATTCTTCTGAAAATAAGCTACACTGTTGACCAATCTATGGTTCTCAATAAGTGAAATATGACTCTCAACAAGCGAAGTGTTTGTGTGTGTTTGTTTAGCTTCTGGTGGTGGCTGCCTGCGCTCCCATTCAGCATCATGATCTGGGTGTACGACGAAGTGAGGAGGTTTCTATTGAGAAAGTCGCCCGGTGGATGGATAGAGAAGGAGACATACTATTAGACTAGACCACCCACTGTCAATAGAAGTCACTAACCAAACAGCAAACACCACAGTACAATTACAGATGGTGTTTAATTACGGAATTACAAACACGATACACAATAAACCACTCAACCTTTACCCTTACTCGGAAAAAGAATAGAAAAGAAGCAACAAACATCTATTTACACGATAGACACACAGGAAACAACAAGTGATGATGATGCTGCTGCTGGTTGCGAACTAAAATAAACATTTTTATCAAGAAGAAACAAGTATACATAAACAAACAAAACAACCCACCTAGCCTCTTACCCACCTTCACATTACCCTCTCTAAACAACCTAGTCCAACACAATAAATAAACAACACAACAAGAATGAGCAGCGAAAGAACAGCAGAAAAATCCTCAATCTTCTGTCGTCATTTTAATACTAGCAGAACTTTTTGTCGTATTTCTAGCAGAACTAAACTTTCAATGGAATAAATTCAGCAAATAAAATGAACAGATACGTAATTGATTGTATTGTATGTATCTCTATCTCCCTCTATTGTTTGCATAGCACTTATTATTTGTATTAATTAAATATTACTTCATAATTGATGCCCCTATGCGCAAGCAGGAAAAGTTCAGATTTTCATTATGGTGTTAGGGTGCAACTCAATTCATCCTCATTCTAGGCTCAGTGCCTGTTTGGTCACTTTCACAATCAGTTTCAACAACTCGGTAACTGTAATTTGGTTTTAAAAATTTTGTAATTAAACTTTTTTCTTGTTTTTTTTTTACTTGAGCAACGGTTTGATCATCTGTCACTTTCGCCGAGTTAGTTTAAACTGAGCACCCTAGGGATAGGAATTGATAAAGTTAGTTGAAGCAAAATAGGTGTCCTACAATGATTGACCAGAGTTTTCAGAGTAAATTTTTTTGTGTTCCATTTTTGCACGACGATGAACGTAGTCCAGACTTTTATAGAGGTCTTGGAGATATTTGTTTTAGTTTTTTTTTCCAGTAAAATTTTTGAACTTCGTTCAGGCTCAAACTTACTGTTTTCGCGGTTTGACTTCTGATTCCTGTTAAGTTCGGTTCCTTAATTTACACTGGCGTTCAGCGTGGTGTTTTGTTAGGAACCTTTTTTTCTAAACCTAACTTGCTCTTAAAAGTGTTCACGTAATTGAAAATTTCACTGTAGCATTGGAAATTACATAGCGCGGCTGAGTGATTGGTTTGTGAGACTGTTAATCTCTGTCGAAGGTTCGAGTCTCAGACCTAGCTGAATTTTTACTACTTCGAGGCTTATTTCTAATTTTTCTTTTTGCGCGATATTACTAGTGTTTGCGAAGCGAAGCTTCGTCTTTGTGTAAAATAAGGCAAATTTCACTAGTGATCAGCAAAAGTGTTAAGGTCACGAAAAACGTGATCAACTTCTGGTTTCGAAAGTGGAACTTAATTTTCAGATTTCTCAGCGAAACAAAACAATTTTTTTTGATCCAGTTTTTTTTAATATGGGTTATTTTTTATCAAAAAAAGCCAATCCTAATGCTTTCGAAAAGTTCAGAGATCTTTAAGGACGTGTTTTTTAAATTCGAAAGTTGTAATTTTTTCAAAAAAATTCAGTTTTTCTCTGTTTACTTGCGTTCATGCCTTTTTTGCAACTTTTTTAAAGCTTTTGTTCCAATTTCGAAAATTGAGATTTTTCAAAAGAGCAATTTAGTGCTTTTTAAGAGTCAATGAACTTACTTCAGAGTTTTATAGAGGTTGTGAATGTTTTATTTCACGAAAAGTCTTAAAATGCTTAAATAACTACGGGAAGCGCATTCATACAGATTATTTTAGTTTTGAATGCCCCTGGATATATGCGCACTCTTTGAGTTCACCTCAGTTTGATTCGCTAAAAGGCCGGCAAAAAGCGTGATCGATTTCTAGTTTTGAGAGTGGATTTTTTCTAGACTTTCCATGGAATGAAAACTTTTACTATTGATCGCGTTTTCTCAAGTTGAGTTAATTTTGTCAAAAAACTCCAATCATAAATTTTCCATGAAAATCAAAAAATCTTAAGTATATATATTTTGAGCATATTTGCATTTTAATTACCAGTTTTTTTATCTAATTTGTCTAATGCTGGTTCTAAATTCACTCCGGTTTTTTGAAGTTTCGTTTTTTGGTTTTACTTTATGGGTTCCAAAGGTTTCGGCCATTAAATCGGTCTTGTAGCCTCATCTTGCGTTGTATCAAAGATGTAATTCCTTAAGTGTGTACTGTATGTGTTTGAGAGTGTATGAGTGTGTGTGTGTGTGATTTGAATTTGAGTAGGATTTTGAACACTTGAATTTCAAGTTTTTCACTTGAAATATTTTGAAATTAACATTCTAATTGTCGTTCTTTACGTGTCGTTTAGGTTTCGGTGAACAGGGATCAGACATTCAGTAGGGTCTTGACTTAACGAGATTTATTTTGGAAAATTCCCTGAAACTTTCTTAAAAATTCAATCAGATTGGTGTATTTCAATTCATGCATTAAGCTGTTAAGAGTTTATTTCTGTTCAAATCAAATTCATTTGCCTAAAGGAAGGAAATTACGGCTCTACATTTGAAAAAAAGTAGTTGGCGCAAAAAATTGAACAACTTTTGGTTTCGAAACTGTAATTTAAATAAAATTTACGAGTGAGATTAAAAAAATTTACTTTCTTCCAGTGTTTGCTACAACTTTTGAAGATAAATAAGGAGTATTTATTTTTATTTCTAGACGAAAGCCGACAGAAGTATATGTCGCGGCAAAGTTAAGCGGGGAGATGCTCGCTGCCATGTAATAAGATAGGCTATAGAGTCTCCGATCAGCACCCTATGTATCAAGATAGGTTATGTTATAGGTTTAAGATGGTAAGATGGGTAATTTCGAAAAATAATTCGGTTCTCAAAAACTTTTGTCGCCCGATTTTGCCGATACAGCAAAGTTGGAGATTGCAAACGGGAAATTTTTAAATCCTATGTATTATGAAGTGACAGTTTCCTTGATGGCAAGCTTCAGATGGTAAGTTTCACAAAAAAAGTTCAAATTTTTTCCATTCAAACTTTTTATATTTGCTTATTAAAGCATAGTAGTGTCCGTAAACAAAATTTTTCTTAGAATAAAAAGTCAAATTTGCAACAGATGTTACACTGCGGTGAGTGAAGATGCTGATGTTAGTAAAAAAACCAACTGATTGTATTTTTAAGCGTTGTAGTGGACGCAAACAAAAATCTCATAAAAATATGACAAAAAAGTAACACCAGATGTTAGCCCCCACGGTAAGCAGGGACTCCGATTTCGTAAACAAATTCTCGAAATATTGCTTTTGATTTATTAAGCGTAAAAAATGTTTAGTCTAACAGATGAGGTAAGTTTTGGCAACAACAGAAAAGTTTTGAAACTCGTTCGCTGAATTTTAAAACGAACTAATTTCACAGTTGAAGTTTTCCTTTTTCCGATTTAATTTCTTAAACCATCATCTCCATTCAACGCAAAAATCGCATCTCTCTTCATTTTCAATTATCAATTTATTTTAAATGTCTTTAGAACCTCACTCTGACAAAAATTTTAAAGAAACGATTTAACCTGTGGATAATGAAAATGTGTAGTGTATACATCTTTCCCAGAAAAATCTTGAAAAAATTGGCGTCGAAGCAAAAAAAAATTTTTCTGTAAAAACTACCTATTTGGAATCTTTAATAAAATCAACCACATTCAGTTGACTTTTTTTCGTTTTATCGAACTTACTGCCCCAGTATTCAAAAATAATTGATTTCTCCAAATTTTCCGATGTATTCCCAGATTTCTCGACTGGACTTCAGCAAACCGTAAGTTTATTTTGATAATAAACAAAACGTTCAATTACAAATACAAGTGACAGTTACAAAACTACAATTACAGTAAGAAACACCACATCATATCAATTTATATTCAAATAAAAAGTAACATCCTGCGTTCTTACATATATTCACTGATAAAATTCGAAACATTATATCATGAACTTTATTCAAGGTCTTCTGGTAGAATTTAAAGAAGAAATGTTGAATAAATTGCGTAAACACCACACAAATTATCAGTTTTTTGAAGTTTCATTTGAAGCATGCGCTGGTATTTTTTTCTTTAAAAAGGAATATTTCAAACGATTTTTTACCAAAAACTCAGCGAAATGATAAGTTTTGTCCAAACGAGCCATCATGATCCAGTGTTCTCCTCTATCATTGCTTAAAGCTGAGTTAACTATTGCAAAAGAATATTTTATTATTTTAGGAAGTTCATAAGAGGGATAAGACGCCGTTTACTTGAACCTCGGCTCAGTAATTCTTTTAATAGTTAGCAGAAGTGAAAAATTATCCATTTTTGCATTCGTTAGTTGATTTACATCTAAAAACAGAGAAAGTGATATTTTGATAGTGCCATTTAGAATAAAAAAGTAGCGTTGATGGTTTTCGAGAACTTAATCACTGTTTCAACATAACGTCAAACACAAGTCTTATGAGCTTGACAAAGGTTATTGAACACTGTTTTACAGTGTAGGCTGTAGAAATTTCTCGGGTTTTTAATTGGACATCATTCATCTGGAGATTGGGTCTGACAAAAAACAAAATAGATAGTACAGAGACAAAAACAAAGAAAAATCCCAAAAAGTTACAATATCCGATTTTGTCATTTTGATCATTTGATAATTTTTTTTCCATGACTATAAGTTCCGTTACTTGCTCCAAGGGAAATTGGAAAAACATTTTTAATCTCAATTCTTCTCCACTAAGTTCCGGATAATGCAACTGTTCAGCTGCATCCGGTAGTCAAGTCATGTCAAAACTAGAATTAAGTGACTTTGAAAATCTTTCACAGGAAGAGCTGGAAAGTCTTCCTTAAACTGTATCGCTTTCATTGTTGTAACATAGGGGCAACAAGGAGATGTTGTTTCTAATGAAACAATTGCGCTTCCACCCCAAAAAAGTCTAAGCTCTCTCAAATCAAGTTGCGGATAATTGAAAAGATGTTCACGAAACGATCCTGCAATAGCTGAAATTGTATTCGTTGCAACAGCTATTCCTCTGATTGAAGCATTTTTGAAAACATTTTCCTGAATAAATTGGTTTCGACGAGATGAAATAATGAAGGTTCTTCCTATAGCTTCCATATCATCATAATGAGCAGGTTCTTTTTCAAGATTCCCTTGCAAGTAATGATGATTATGTCCTAGAGTTCTTCTAGTAAACAGCGAAAAATCAACAATTATTCAAAGAAAGGTTTTTTGATGGTTTTAAAAAATAAAAATCAGAACTTAAAGCAAAAACAAAGGATGATTCAGATGAGGAACCACAAACTTACTTAATTTTTGTAAACAATCTACTACATTCTCTATTCTCCAATTGTAAAATTTGTATCAACAATACAATGGCTTACAACGCCAATGACTTATATCCTCATAAAGCCCAAATATCGAATGAACACAACAATCGGACTCTCAGACAGCATGTAAATTGTAGGTCTAGCTCGACTTAGTTTAATTTGAACTTTGGTTTTTGGTAGTATTAGTTTTTGGTAGTATAAGTAAACAAACCAATGGTAAGCTTCCCATAGATTGAAGAAATTATCCCTGTTACTAAAGAATTTGCTCTATCAGTGAACGGATGCAAATCAAATGTTTACGGAAACTCTTCAAAACTATATCCATGACAAGCAAGTATTCCTTTTTTACTCACTGACGAAGAGTTGAATTCGTTCATTTATTGGGCTTTATGGGGATACAATCCATTGGCGTT